TATCATCCAAAGCTTGAATTCTGTGGCAAATAGCCATCAGGTGTGCCTGAAGCCATACTTGCAGGCTTGCAGAATGTACGATTGGTAGAGCAGTCCTAAAGGTAATGTAGACTCTGTAATATCAGTTTCAAGCTTCCTGCAGTCAGTTCTGTGCACAATAAACCACCTCACTGAGTACCTTGTTTTCATTGAAATTAGCAATGACGACTCCAACAAAAAGGGTCAGTCCGATCATGCAGCCAAGGAATACAAAAACATGAATGTAGATTCCATGGATCTGAAAATACAAAAATAAGGTTAATAGTCAAAACAAATCAAAGTATGTGTTGTGGAAATCAGACTCTGATGTATTTTTGTTTTCTTACCGGCCCAACGCGATGAATAATAACATCTCTGACTTCCACCCAACCTTTTAATGACAGAACTTCGAATAGTGCCAGCATTGCATTTCCCACATTGTCAAAATTAAAATTCCGAGGATTTGCCCTGAAATGCAGCACACAAATAGATATAACTTGAGCAATACAGTTTTTCTTTCTATTTGTTACCTTGATTCTTCATAGTCTAACATTTAAATACCTTGCAAAGTTGGTATGAAAGCTTCTATAGCATTCAAAGTTCTTTCTCAAGAATAAGAAAACAATAGCAATACATATGTACAGCATAATCTTTTTATCCCATTGTAAGCTTTATTTTCTTTCTCAGAATCTGATTTACAGTAATATAGCTTATAATATCTTGATGTATTTTAGTGTTTGTGTCAATGGAAATACCAAAATATAGCATTAATGAAAAAATGGACCTGATGGCATTGATCATATTCTAAAATAAATTGACCTGAAGGAGATCAGTTTCAAAACTACACAAATTATTCAGACTCCAAGGTCAGTGAGATCATTTACACAATGTGGTTCTTTATTTCCTTATAATTGGGATCTGACGGTCTAAAGCAAAATCTACTGAGAGGACACCACATCTCCTTTCCCTTCCTATACCATATGTTCTGACCTTTGGTATCAGCTGAGATTCAAGAGGCTATTGCCAACTGAACATTAAAAGTAGCCTCTTCAAGCTAGGTTAGCACATTGTCCTATCTTTACAATCTGTGATAGACAATCCAAGGAGCCCAATTAATTTTCAACAATTTGTAAGATAAATAGTTGTATCCCAGAAGAACTATTAAGTGTTTGGTGCTTCTGAAAATCCAACCATTCCGTGAAAAAGAGAGCTCTCAGATGTTGATATTTCTTTTAAATGCAGTCCTTACACTGACATCTGGCTCTTGAAAATCTGGCCTGACACAGCCAACAGGTGGTATAAATGTCCTTGCGGTAAAATGTTTCTCTGCAATACCAAGACATTCCCCAAAGTTTACAATTATGCTGATTAAGACAGTTTTTGCTTATTTCTTGATCAAGCTGAAGAGGATTGAATTTGCTTACTCAAGGAAGAATTTGTCTGAAGCATACAGAAACAAAGACTTCTGCAGATGTCAGAGTTTCACTGATTATTCAAATCACAGCATATTATTTCATTAGAGTAAGATGCCTCTGAATGTACCACTGCTGGTATACTCTTATCCATGCATATAGTCAATTAAAATAATTGTGGCTGTTAAGCTGATTTTGCAAAACGCCAACTGACTTAAAAATATAAACAATTAAAAAGAGTCTTTTTTTGCCTGTTCAGGTGTTGGGAAATATTAAGCCGACTTTATCAGAATACTAATCAGAGGTATAACATCTTAAATAATTTTTACTGCACTATGGCACCAGATAGATAGACTCCAAAATTCTCTGTATTGAAAACAGAAATAAGCTGCTAACTGACTTGGTTGATGGCCATAGAAGAGAAAGGCTGATTTTAGGCACGACTTGCTCTTTTTTTTTTTTTTTTTTTTTTTATGGGTAGCTCTAGGCAGGTTGATATCCATTTCTTTTCTTCCCATCTGCTCCTTTTAATTCTTAGGTTCTGTTGTTGATGCATTGCTCTCAGGATGTCTTCATAATAGTATTAAAAACAACTAAGTGATAATCTTGGTTCAAGACAAGAAATCCCACTGTAATAATAATCACATCTAACTCCTATCTAGGTTTGGTACCTACGGATAATTTTTTAGTTTCTATTTTATTAATAGAATAGTAGGCTAAGTCCAGAAAAGTCTCATACATATAGGTTTTTACTATATATATCAGAATTTTTACCCTTAATATCGATAAAACCCCTCCATCATCAACTTAATGCCAGAAAATCTGAGTAATTTTCTACATCAACAGATGTGTTTTTTGAAGGTAGATAGGCCAATGCGTAGCAACTCACCAGACTCGTGGCACCCAAAATCCAGGCTTTTTCTCTCCAGGTCTTAACTTTAAATTGAGATTTTTGGAAACGCTTACATTTATTCTGAAGATGCCATGACAATCTTCCTACAGTGAAAGAAACCACAGCCTGAGATTAAATAATGGCCTGTGAGAGATGCCAAAATGCCAGTACAGAGAGCAGAGAGCACCCTTGCCATGATGGGGAAGCACTGTAAACTCAAGGGTTATTTACAGGTCTGGGATTAATAGTCATGGACCTTTACCCAAATGAAAAATTCATCTTAGGAAGGATTCAAGAAACCCTTCTCTGTCCAGCACTGAGAGTGCTTTTCATTTTGCAAGACTATCTAGACTTTCATGTCTCTCTTAAAGACCATTACTCTCTTTGGGTGATGGTGACGTTTCTCAAAACAAAGTAAGAAAAACAGCTAACTTTCTCCATGTAACCTACGTAACATCCCCAGTGCTTTCAACCTCTAGCAGCCTAACCTGTTTTTTAGCTCCTGACCTATGAGCGCAAAGGTGTCATGTTGAGAGGCGTCCCTGCCCATGACAGGGAGGTTGGATTAAATGATCTCTAAGGTCCCTTCCAGAATAAGCCATTCTATGATTCTATGATTCTGTGATTCTATGTTCCATGGTGACATGGAACGTAACACCTTTGGAACCATGTGACATTTGGACCTTTGCAGATAATATGGCATAAATTCACCAATTTTTACAGACAGTCCCAAATATTTCAACTTGCTTTACTTTTTAATACGAAAACCCTGCTTTACCCTCATTCACTCACTCCTTTATCACCTTTCCCTCCATCATCCTGCTTCCGAACAAGAAAGTGCCCAAGAGTTCCATCTCTCATATGACAGCTCTGATTGTCCCACTTGCTTTCCCCAGCAGGCAGAAATGGCACGGCACACTATTATTTTGAAGGAGAAAAGCAGTTCTTACCCTAGAGATGATGTGCGGATCGTTGCATTTAGCCAGTTTTCCAGCAAACAGCTGCACTCCAAAGCTTGCAAAAACAAGCATTAATGTCAGCAAAAGAATAGAAACCTGTAAAGATGGAGTTAGACTTGTCAAGCTCTCATCCTGCAGACTTGAAAAAGTGGGTCAGATCCTCTGCGAACTGCAGGGAGGATCATTTTCTTGCACAAACCTGGAGATACGTTTTTTTGACAGACATGTTATTGTAGGTTCTGATACAGCAATCAGGTGCTGTGCTAGTATTAGTATTATTATTAACATAACATCTAAGAACTGTAGATAAGGGTCAAAGCTTTCTTGCACTCAGTGCAGCACCTTGCTAAATTCTGAAGGCATAAGAATTGCCATTCACTTTAAAGAGAACTCTTCCAGTACTTACATATGTGCTTCTATTTTGCTGAATCACCCTTTACTAACTAATCTGTGAGCCATTGTTATATCTAAGTTTAGGATAGCTATAATAAAGATATGCATGAGCAAATTATGATGTAAATATGTTTAATGGAATACAGTGCCTATGAAATGCTAACTGGTTTATACTTTTTGTCCTTGCTCTATTACTCTCTGCAAATATTTTGTAGCTTAGCTTTTTATAGCAACCTGACTTAATACATCATTCTGTTATGGAACAAAATGTCTGGGTTTTAGGCTGAAAAATATCACATAGGGTCCCAAGACAATAAGTTAGGTTCTGATCAAGCAATCATAGTTTCTATTATTGTTATTATCACTATAAATGCATAATCATGATCATAATAATAACAACAATGACATAAGAATAAGATCCAGATCTGTGATAAACAGCTGTGCTGTCCCTGGTTGCATCTCAATAAAACTTGGAAGTAGAGACCTTCAGCTCAGACACTAAATTTACTTTTGTTCTCAAATTTCTGCCATAGCCTACTTCCCATCTTCCTTCCTCAACTAGAACTGAGAATAAGGTGGAGATTTTATTTCAGTAGTCCTCCTATGTAATTATGGACAAATATATGCTGACGAAATAATATAATCTATAAAAGAATTATTACAGCAGCTTTATACAGTATATATGTAAATGAGTTACTTATATTCCTAATTTTTAACCTATTTTGTGGTCATCTTCAGTGGTGGCTAAAATGAGAAGAGGACAGACAATAATGAAGAAAAGATTAGAAAAGAAAGGCATCACAGCAAAATGGTATCTTATTAGTCCTCCGTGTCGTTATATTAACAAGAATAAAATAGCTGGCACATACCAAAAAGATCTCTTTAAAGCCACTAAACAGCTCTCGCACCACTTTCCTCATTTGAGGGACCAGTTTGAAAATTCGAAGAGGTCGGAGGCAGCGGAGTACCATTAACAGTTGAGCTCCGGATTTGGCAGGGACGTTCTGTGGCATCCAGCACAGGAATATTAAACTCACCTTGAGGAGATAGGGCAGGAAAAGGTAAGGATTAGGCTTACAATGTCTTAGCTTCCATAGACACAGCACAAAAGATCAATAAACACTTCTCTAATTTAAAATTAAAGGGAAGATCAGGGGAAAAAAAAAGCCTAATTTAGAAAAAAGCCTAATTTAGAAAAGGGACTTGGATCTCCTGTGTCCTGGCTGATTGTCCTAACTAATGGGCATCAGCTTCAGCCTCTGCCTTTGACTCAAAATCTATTTTCTTCTTTTCAGCAGAAGACACAGTTCCAAGCAAAGACATGAACTATATTCTTGGAGCAGGAACATCATCTCTCTCCCTGCTTCTCATTTCAAATAGTGGTTCTACCCTGAAACTGAGATACCTTCACCTGGAAATTCCTTTAACAGTTTCCTCACCACTTTTTCCTATCACTTTGTTACAGGCATAAGTAGTTTCGTTACTGTGTGGTTCTATCACATAAATATTACACATTCAAAAGTGTCTTCAGACAGCATGCCTGTGTCTTGTAGCCTGAACAATCTCTGAGAGATGGTTATAAATTAGAAGGTCTGTTAGGTCTGTTAATTATTCCTTATTTTTTAAAATGCCCATGATGACAGGGAGGTTGGATTAAATGATCTCTAAGGTCCCTTCCAACCTAGGCCATTCTATGATTCTATGATTCTATGAAAATGTACTCATAAAGCCAACGCTTTAGGGGGACACAGGTGAGAGGGCTACAAAGAGGTAAGTGCACAAAAAAAAGAGGATCAAACTGATGTCATCAATATGATTTAAAACCTAATACGATTTGTTAAAAATCACAGTGGTACAAGACTTCTGCCCAACCAAAACAAAAAGATTTGCCAAAGCTTCTGACCTCATTTCATATTGTTTTAAGACCACCACCGGCACATTTCAAGTATCCAAGCCACACCACCTACATTTTCCTTCAGATAAGGAGAAGGATTCAGAAGGATCTCAAGAAACTAATGCACACACTGATTATGCATACTACAGTAGGATTTTTGTATAAGTATGCATATTTTTATTTATGCTAACAATGGAATCTTTGATACAAATTGATCGTGACAAATTTTATGCAGCACATCTGTCTAGTGGCTTAATCTCTGAAAGATTTAATCTAAATCCATCAAAGCCATTTTGCTTAACAATTTCTTCAGTTAGAAAATATTTCACACTGTATTATACTGAGAACTGGTTTTGACACATTTTGCTGTGTTTATTGTCACATGTGAAAAGGAAACAGACCCCCTTCTCTTGTATTTGAATGGAATGCAAGAGGTGTCCAGGGAACAAAGTAAAGAGTAGAACAATTTTTTCCTAAGAAGCACTGATGGGTATGGAATATGGAAAGGTGCTGCTTTGCTTTCTTCCTGCTACAGCAACAAGGATGTGACTTTCTGTAAAAGAGTAGAGGCTTTTGAAACATCTTCTATAAACTTAGGCGAACTGTTGAGAGGGGAAGAAGCAATGAATGACTAAGAAACAGTTAAAAAATTTTCCTGCATAAAAATGCTGAGGCAAGGTCAGAGATCTTGAGCTTACTTTGGAATGAAATTAGGTCTGATACTTAAAACATATCAACAAATAAACAATTAAAAGGGGTCATACAACGACTGGCCTTATACTGAATTGCCAGGTGCTTCTCACACACGTCAGTGTATTTTTAGATGTCTTGGCAAGTATTTGTACACCTAACTGACACGACTGCACATGAAAACAGTTGGTTTTGTACACATACTACACCACTGCATTTGCACCAGAGCACAGAGCCAAACTTTTTAACATTACCAAATATTTATATGTCCAAAGATATCAAAATTAAGAACGCTACATAAATATAAAGCCCTAAAAACATAAAAACTTACAAGATATATAAATATGTCCATAACTCCTCCAAAGTCCCTAATGACAGCTGTTGGTGTAAAAAACAAGCCATCTGCCATAATCTTCAGATTAAGCTCAATGCTCATGAATATTACAAAAACATACTCAGCAATCTGAAAAACAAAGCAAAGAACAGTCATAATTTAGGAATAGGCAGTGGAGAAAACCAAGGTGACAGTGCTTCACTAAATGTAAAATGATTCAGTGACAATACCTGGAGCGTTGGAGCATGCATAACTCTTCTAAAGGGGGATTCGAACATCATGGAAATGCAGGAGCATATCGTAACAATGATCATGACCCAGTCCAGGTAAGTAACCAAACCCAGCAAGTCACTGTGGACAATACATAAGAATAACCATTACAGAAAGTCAAGAGCGCTGTGTCATTTGTACTGTGTCTACACAGTTAAGTGCTCTCTTATGAAAAACAAATTAGGCAGAGGGGTGTCAAAGATTTCAATATTTCAGAAACATGTAGTAAAACTGGGAAGTTGCATGCAAGTGAAGAAGAAAAATCATGATTAAAAAACCCTCTTCCTATTAATCCTCCTTCCCAATCAACTCATGGAAAGAAGAACTTTTTTTTGGAAAAGAGAAATACACATGTGCATGCTCACATACACACATACATGCATGTGTGTCCTCACACACTTATACCGCAGGCTTATGTGACCAAGTAAAGTTACTTTTGCAGTGCTTACTAAAGCTGATGGTATTTGGTATTTTTCACAGCTCCAGTAACAGGATCTGTTTTAGAACTATAAAAAGAAGAAAAGATAGTAATTTACATTTTATTTTAGTCAGCATTATAATTATACCATGTGTCCATCACCTCAAAGTACTTTATATTCACAATCAAGGCTACATTTTATCTTTTCTTAGTTTTAAATGTCAGTATAAGTTCCAGGTAATTCTATGCAATTTTAGTCATATTATCAACACACTTTAATTGATGGCTTACCTGTAATTCCTCTAACAATTCTCTAAACTGCTGAAGACTTTTTGGGTCTTGTTTTTATAAGCAAGGACTTAATTTCTAATTTTGCTTGCTGACACAAAAAAACCCTACCATAAGTTCTATTTCTTTCATTACTTCTTCCATCAGTTTCAGAAGAGTATTTCTTGACTCTCCGTAACTGAATTTCCTTACAAGAGGCATCTTCCGCAGGCAACATTTACCCACTTAGACGAGTATGTATACCGAATACACTTATTGGTGCCTTCCTACTGAACCCACTGGCTTTTCTTTTTTCTTAAGATCATATCTCTTCCCCACATTGTATATAGTGGCATTCCTCAGTCTTTTATAATAGCAGAAAATAACTATCCTACCAGTCTGAAAAAGATATCTAGAAAATCTTACTTGGCAAGCTGGGTGGGACAATTGAATAAAGTAGGCAGAATTTAAATAAAAGAAAAAATCGACTGTTTATCAAAATCAGTTCAGTATTATAATTAACTAAACTGTTGATAATACAAATATTCTGTTACCCTTGGGCATTCCACAATGCCAAGAGGCACTGACACATATTTGACAAGTGGACTGGAATGTGTGTTTTGTTTTGCTGTTTTAATTTGCAACTGGTTCATAGACCCGCAAACCACTATCAAGTTTGCAGTTCCACAGAAAAATAGAGCACCTAACTCATGGATGTGCTTCTACATTGGTGGCAGAAGACTTAAATATGAGTATTGCAAAACTGAGTATCTAACATTCCTGTTCTGCCAAGAAGTAATTTGAAGGGCACACAGAAAATCAATATTAAAGCAGGTGCTGAAACCAGGTCTTCAAAGTACCAAGCTCATAGCCTTGAGCTGTCTTATGTTTTCTGCTTGTAAGGTGACATGCCTTAATCCTCCAAAATTAGCATGTCAGCCATAGACAGAGGTCTAAAAGATGAGCTCTAAGATGATTTTCTATCAAGCTGCTTGTATATACATCTGCATCTGCCACACTCATGTACACCTTCAGTCTAGTTACTGAGTCTTCTTGGTTTTCACCCAGTCTCAGCTTTTCTTCTTTTATTTCCCGCAGCTGAACACCTCTTCATCACATTCTGGGTCTCTAATTATGGACTAAGGTGTCTTCAGGTGAGCACAGGCATAATTTATTTATCTTCATCTTTTCTTATTCTTTGAGGAACTGTTGGTATATAAAGTCTTCCTGCCTTATGATGAGGAATGGGAAGGGAATAGCAAGCTGATTCCCTAAAACTGGTGGTATAAAACATCAGCCTTTCCTCTCAGTTCACATGTGCAGTTTTCCCACAGCCTTATCCCACCTCAGCATCGCAGACTGCTCCAGTGTGTCTGCCTTTACACAGCATTTTGTAGCTTTTTTTCTTCTAACAGTAAGAATAAACCACAGGCAACTGACCACCACCTTGTGTGGTGGCAACATTATATGCAGCTTTTCGTTCAAAAGTTAGACCTAGATTTCTGAGGACATGAAACTAAACACTTGTTGGAACCAACTGTTGACATGGAATAAACTTACGCATTAAAGCGAGCTCGTACCACCACTCGGCAGAAATTTCTGAATCTATGCTCACGACCAACTATGAAAAGTGGTTTATCAAAATATGGATGATTCTCTCGTAGCTCCTCTTCTTGGACTTTCCTTTTGAAGGATAAGACATAAATTATTAAGTGATACGCATTACACCTGACAAAAATATCCCTTACACTTTGTTCTTTTTTCATCATGACTCTCAGCACTTCTACTTCACAAAGACAACACTTAATACAGAAAATTGTGCACTCAGACTTTTGATTTTTAAATACCTCTTCATTTCAGCTTGTTCTTTTTTTTCTTGGATCATCTTTATTTCACTGTCTTCTCTCTGTGCATTTCTGTATCTCACTGTATTGGAGTGCTAGAAGCAAAATGATTTCTTTTAAATGAGGTCTGTGGGTTGTTTTTTAATGTTTCAGATGAAAGCAAGATACAGTATTTTACATAGAAAGATGTAAAAGAAAAATCTTTATTTCCAAATGCACTGCACACGTCAGTCGAACGTATTGCACAGTATTTTCTATCTACAGCACAAGGCAGCTTATTTTCATCGAGGTTAACTTCAGTTTAATTTCATGCACAAAGTCCCATCCAACTTTTAACTTTAAAAGCAAATGTCCTATAATCTCAGCTGATCTCTCTGAACTAGAGTGAGGACCACCAGTGTTACTAAGGGCAATGACTGAACTGAGACACCCTTTCAGTTTCTCAGGCCTGCTGCATGTACTGCCAGGCAGCGCATCGTGTAGGTCACACAGGTAATGCTGTGGAATGCAGGGAGGGCATTGTCTGAGCTCATCCAAAGAGCGTACAATCAGAATTATTATTCACTTACGTGAGTCTTTGGAGCACTCTCAGAGGGGTAATGCTGAGTGTTACTCTCACTATTGGACACAAGCAAAGCCACACCTGCTTTAAAAGATTAGTTACCTACAGTTTCTTTCTACCACCGTGCAGGCTAATTCATCAATTACTTCTTATGTAGTTGTTTGGAAGTATGAAGCACATTTAGAAAATGATTGTCTGGTTTGGAAATTGACTGGCTTGGAAAATGACTGTCTAGTTTGGAAATGGAGGGACAAATATTGCCCCTTGAAGATTCATAGTCACGGATATCCACAAAATACCCTTATGAATTTGCAGAAGTGGAAATTCACTTAACTGCATGAAACTGTACCTCAGTGAAATCCATCATTACTGTTCTCCCTTTTAGTTTTTGTCTTTTTGTCTGACAGTTCTGGTGCTTGAAAAATACAGTTAAACTTCCATCAGAAATTCTGAAGTGTTGTTTTGCCACCCTGAGAGATCTGTGCAATTCCAAAGTAAGGCTTTTTAAGGTGCCCTGGGTAGCAATTGTTCTGTTCCTAATGTGGTGTCTACAGCTTCAGCGAATCTATCTCAGTAAAAAGTCTATCAGGGAAGTAACCACGTCAATTATTTTAAGGATAATTCTAATGCAGTTACAGTATTTGTTTTATGATTTCAGGATTCCAAAAGACAAATTGTAAACAAGATCATAAATAGACATTAGCCTTACACAAGAATTTATTATACAGTACATTTTCTTATTTCTCACATTATCAAACTGAAATAATCTTTTCTATGAGGACTTACATCTTGAGTCAAAGTTTCAAGAGATTTTCCTCTGCTGATTCTCTGGCTGTTGGAACCATGTCTCAGTGACCTGAAACAATTGTAATCAATTTAACGATACATCTCCAGATGAAATTTTGACCTTTATAGGATGGCCATTATAAAGTCATCTCCAGCTACCCAATATCTCAAATTCTTATCATTTTTCTCTTGCTAACATCAGAAGCTTATATGTTCTTCAATTGTTTTCAATCTGGTCTAACATAAGCCAATTTCTTTCCCTCTGATCTTTAAATTGATAGCTTTGTACTCGGCGAAGGAAATGACATTTGAAATAAAAAGGCATTTTTTCCATTTATACAGCACAATGAATTTCATTATGGTTACAATGAAGAACATAAATTCGGTTCTTGGTACAAGTAAGTAATTTCAGTTTTTCACATTGCTCAAATTTAATTCTTTTCATCAGTTTTATTTTAAGAACATTTTTAAACCATCCTTTCTGTCCATGTTTACCTGCGTTCTTGTCGTATATGATGCTGGACACTAAGTATTGACCTTTCCTTTGCTGGCTGTCCCTCAAAGGATCCGCTCAGCATGCGTTGTCTAGTGCAGGCCCTACGAAGAAATAGGATAATGATGACAAAGTTTTCAGTATAAATGGTACTTTCTGAGGTGGGGCGTACAAATAAGTCACCTTGGCTTTCTGAGAAGCAAGTGCATAGGTTATCAGACAATAACCATAAAACAGCAATGGACTTTGTACGAAAACATATCTCCAATGCAATAGTCACCACTCTGCAACATAAGTGGTCACCCGACAGACCTTGTCCATGCCTTAGCAAGGGCCACCTTCGTTCTTGCTTTTTTTCACTTTGCTGTAGAAGTTATGGTCCCTCAAGACTTCACTAAATGTGAAAATCGTCAAGCAATGCACTGATTGTCAATAAAACCATCTTCTCAGCAACAGAGAAAGGAATAATACAAGTAGAGCTGTCATTTTAGGGCAGCTCCCTTTCAGGGCTGTACATAGCAAAATATTAAGACATGCTCAAGACTTATCGCATATCTTTGAGTGTCCTCTTACATAACTTGGACCATACATGGTTTGAAATGAAAAGTTGCATGTTGCTGATATCCTGTGTTATGAAATGTCCGCCCTCTGGAAATGCATGGATCTTGCAGCATTTTGTTGTGTTTTTTCACTTGTTTGCTCTTTGTTTCATTTTGCTTTTGCTGAATTTTGGCAGACCCATTTGACACATTTTGACAGAAATGAATATTTGTTTGCTAGTAAGCGTGTTACAGCTGATTAGGGCATGTGGAATCTTTATTTTAATGGCTACAATGAAATGGATTTGCTTAAGAAAAAGAGAGGTTTCCACTAAAAGAGCTCAAACAAATCCTCGGAGGGCTGAAAAATGAAATTTCTACATTGGAAAAATATTTTGACTTTCCAGGAATGCTGAAGTTTTAAGTTTACACAGTGCACACATTGTTGCTCATTTTGTGTTATTCAGAGAAACACAAAGTCCAGCTGGTAATATTTCATACATTTTAATGAACTGAATCTCCACCTTTTTTTTAAAACATTAAAAAACCCCCCATGCTATTGGAGTAACCACTCTATTTGGCAGTCTACTGTAATGCTTAGATAAATGCTATCCTTAGCAGCATGGGATGATCATGCTTGATGGCAAAAGGTGTCCCAGGCATGTTCTTTCCCCTCTGTGACTTTGTTTTTCACTCTTCACTGCTATTTCTTCTTTTGTATTTAAAGACATAAGCGATAGGAGTAGGGATCCAAAGTGAGATCTGGAAAAAAAATGAGAAGCTTAGAATGCTTATCAGAATCATCACTGTCAATCATACTAGCATGCTAGAAAAATACATCGAGCTACATTTACTTATTATAGAAGGCATTAGGTTACACTATACTGAACTGAACCATCATGACATTAAAGAAAATTACTGTATGTCTTGTAAAACACAGCTCATCTTAGTAAAATCACGAACATTTTAATACCAATGGATTTTAAGCATTAAATTACTGAGGATGATACTACATAACACTGTCAGAAGACAACAATTATATCATTTGAATACCTGTGCAATTCTCTTGTAAAAAAATAGATTATCTCCTAAAAATAGATGCTACCTAACTCCACTAAAATGAGGCCTGACTTCTGTATAGAGGCTTCTTGCTGTGACAAAGAGGGGAAGTTATCTTTTTTTCCCTGAAAATATAAATTATTGTGCTCTGCTTTTAACGGCTAGAAATGACTTTCTTGACATCAAAATATGACTTGCACATAAACTTTGCTTGTCCTTGTACACAGGTTACTTGAATATCAAGCTACATTAAACTTTTAGTGTCCATAATAAAAAAGAGCATGAAATGCTAAAACAATAAATTCTTTACCTGACCAATGAACAAGATGGCTTCTTTGATTATTACTGTATAAAAAAATACACTTAGCCATACACTATACAGAATGGGCATGCATAAAGGGTAACACCTGTTTAAAGACTGTTAGGATTGTCCATGATCTCTTCCAGATTCCTAAATCCATATTTAGAATTTAAACACATTATCTCATTTTCAATAACTCTGGAAGCTCTGCAGCTCTTACTGAAGCCAATGGAGGAATAACTAAATGCCAGTTGTATAGCACAGAAACCAGAAATTTTTATCAAGTAACTGCAAAGAATTTTTTTCTGTCTTCAGAGAAAAGATGGTGTGCTGAAGGATGCAATGGCTATTTCTGACTGTCTATCTCCCGGCATTCTCCATTTGAGAGGAATTTGTGCCTTAATCTTCCTTCTATTAACTCTTAGAAAAAGCTGTGCTTTGGTGTACCTTTGACTCAGAATCTGGATGCTTTTCAGCTATTTATACACACAGAGCTCTGGATCTTCGGGAACTTTTGGAAAAGAAGGCAGGTTCCATGAAGTTTGCAGAATTGCATAATTGTTTCTTACTGTAGACGCCTACTCTCACGTGCTTACTCTCACTTGCCTACATGGGAGCCATGTGGCCAGACTTCCCTCATAATCAGTGGACACGTAGGACTCAATTAAACTGAGGTGGCCAGTGCCACCTGCCATGCCTTGGAGTATTTTGCCTTGCTTCCAGCTGCTGCTCCAGCAGGGTAAAGGTCCTCTATAAATTTCTGTATTACCTCAGGAGGATGTTTTTGGACATCCTCTGGCACCTCAGACATGACTAATCCATATGTGGACAACTTCATTAAATTCTTGGTCAGTTAATTTAATGAATGATATTTGAAAGCTATTCAAGTAATCATAAAATAGGCATCTAAAGACAAAGCAGTCAGCTAAAGATCTCACTATCTGTACTGACTAGACTTTGTCAACTAGATGACAGAGGTAATCACCCACCTCACAGGCAGATCTGGCAGTCTGGAGGTGAATCCCACACCTGAGACAATCACCAAGTGGCAGTGATAAAAATTTAGTCCTGTGTGGTTTGCAACCTGGAGTTAAAATCCCAGTGTTTTCTTGACTTGATATATTTTCACAAAATCGTAGCTGGTCAAAATCTTTTGACCTTTCTTTGAACAATGCAGGCAAATTTCCCTTTTTAAACTTAAATTGTCCTTTCCATTTTTACTACCTCTATGATACATTAGATAGGTTCACGTTCACTTGTGGAAGAACGAGGAAGAGACAACAAATATACCTAGTTTCTGGACTCTGTGCTCACTTTGCAGAACTCTGAACACAGTCCAGAAGCTGCAAACTACATGCTCTAAATTTGCCTTGAAATGCACAAATGTAATAAGATTTTCTGAAAAAGAGAATGTGATTTGGTAAATTATCAGAAAACCAGACTACAGGTGAAGACTATACAGAAGAATATGGTATTGGGATGCCACATAGTCTGTATTACCTGCAATTACGAGGTCCAGACTTTGAAGTCCTTCAAACTACTTCATGCTTTGGAGTCCCTGAAAATAGTAAACAGAGTGTCCAAGTAATATTCTTTGTGCTAATGCAAAATGTTAAATGCTTTGATCAATATTTCAAAATACTATACCTGTGGTGAAAATTCTGAGGTCTCTTGCAGAGGATATGCATATGGCTCACACTTGGCATCCCTTCCACAACAAGTGGCAACTCATCTTCTTGCATTCCAGTATAACACCGTTGTTTTTCTGTACTATTTTAATGAGTGAATACTTACACAGTAACTGCAGCAACCAAATATACTACTATGTACTTTTGTTCTTGTTCTCCCTGAAATGTGTGCACACTGAAGTGTTAGCAGTGTGGTATGCTTCAGTAAAACACTCGGTTATCAGTCTCATTCAGTATCGTTTCCACTACGACTCCCTGTACTTACTAAATCTTTCTGTGCTGTCCTTATACTTCCATTTAGCGTGGATGGTTAAATGGGACAACCTACAATTGTTGGTGAATCCACCTGGTAGGTGTTCTAGTGTTTCTCTCTTAAATTTCATTAATTTAATTCAATATGGCACTGTTTGAATAGCAAGAACATTTTTACCACAGCTACAGTTCTGTTCTTTGGGGAAAATAAACTACTTTTCAAAGAAATTTGAATTTGGTTGGTTAAATAAAATTAATTATTAATACAACTTGGACAGTTCATACTTTCTCTTTTCCATGTTTTTTTCTTGTTTTCTTTCATATGTCTCTAAAAGAAAAAAACAAATAGCCATTTTCTTTAGGAACTGTTCAGTCTGTCAACTATGGTAGCACACTTTCTTTCCTTCAACCTTCCTGTTCCCCATCCCTGTCTTCCAGCTCAGGGTGCTGGGTACCCAGAGAACAACTGGTCTTACAATTAAAATCTGAGGCAAAGAAGTCATTAAGTATCTCAGCCTTTTTCTCAGCCTATGTCACTATGTTTCCCCCCACATCCAATAAAGGATGAAGATTCTCTTTAGCCCTGATTTTGTTGCTAATGTGTTTATTGAAAATTTTTTAATTGTCTTTTACAGTAATAGCCAGTTTAAGTTCTATTTGGGCTTTTTCTTCTAATTTTCTCCCTGTACAACCTCATGACATCCTTGTAGTCCTCCTGAGTTGATGGCTCCTTCTTCTAAAGGTGATAAACTCTCTTTTTTTTTCTCCTGAGTTCCAGCCAAAGGTCTCTTCTCTCTCTCTCAGCCAGGCTGATCTTCCCCACCAGCTCATCTTTTGGCATATGAGGATGGCCTGCTCCTGTACCCTTAAGATTTCCTTCCTGAAGAATGTCTAGCCTTCTGGACTCCTTTGCCCTTTAGGACCGCCTCCCTCTGTCAACTAGGCTCCTAAGCAGGCCAAAGTCTGCCCTCTGCAAGTCCAAGGTGGCAGTTCTGCTGACCTCCCTCCATACTTCTCCAAGAATTGAAAACCCTATCATTTCATGATCACTATGTCCAAGACAGCCTCCAACCATCACATCACCCACAAGTCCTTGTCTGTTCCCAAACAATGGGTCCAGCAGGGTGCCTCCCCTGGTTGACTCCCTCACCAGCTGTCAGGAAGTTCTCTTCCACACATTCCAGGAACCTCCTGAACTGTTCCTTCTCTGCTGTATTTTATTTCCAGCAGATGTCTGGTAAGCTCAAGTTCCCCAGGAGAACATG